GATATAGACGTATATATGCACATATACTTGATGATGACCCACCATCGTACATCATCCCGCGCTCCTTTGGATCTTTCCAGGACGTTGGATGGGCCCAATCTGCCAACCTGCAGCAAGTGGCAGAGGCTTTGCGCAAGCCCTGAGTGTTCTGGAGGTGCCCTGCAGGGAAGTTCAAGGTCCCAGCCAATTTTTTAAAAAAAACTTCAGAAACCACAAAACCCGGGAATCCGAGAATTTCCCGGGAATCACCCGAGAATACCCGAGAAATTTCCTGGGTTTGGAACCTGTCGGTTTTTGTTCAGACTTGTGAGGTTTTGTTCAAACACTTGTCGGGAAATTTCATATTGGGCCCGAGACTCTGAAGGACATGGCACCTCTGTTTTAATTAGAGACTGTAGAGCACCTTCCAATTAAGTTGTGGTGTGGGAAGTTTGGTGACCTGAAGTACTATGACAGAAAAAAACATGTGCAAGTTGTGCGGTTGTGATATATGAGGGGTCACCAATGAACCCATGTAGCAACAGTTGCGTGTGTGACAAAACAAAGCTCGTTTACCTGTGAGCAAGAATTCTTAATGGCATCGTTCATTAGTGGCACATATGTGTCTGTACATCGGCTTGGAGTCGTGGTGCATTACTTGAGGTATTGTTCGCTGCTTTAGGTGGATCAGCGCTTCAGGCTATAGATCACCCGTGACTCTGCACCATGCCGGAACCGGTGTTGAGGCGACATCGTGAGAAGTCAGCCCCGCGAGAGGGGGCTCCAAGGGGACGTAGCCCTGATGCCAAATCTTTGCAGCAGGCGGCTAAGAAGGCTAGGAACCATAGTGGAGGGTACGTCACACCGCCCCCTAGGACTAGGAAGGTGCTCCAGGATTCTCATACCAAATGTGTGAAGCCTCGAAAGATTAAGTTTGGCAACGACTCCGTGCACCACATCGAAGCGGAGAACCCGGCACCTCCAAAGTCTTCAAAGGAGAAGAAAATTGGCGCAGACGCGATCTTGAACGCCCTTAAGGAGAGACCCCATGTATGTTCTATATCGTGTCTCTTGCTGCTAGCAACACCTGTCCAAATATGAGGAACCCACTGTGTTGCAGATCTACTTTGTTGAATGACCCCCACTTTGCAGGAGTCAAAGAAGGAGGACAAAGCTGAAGATAGTGAATCTAGCTCTGACGAGGAGGCCCTGAACAATAGACGCAGGTGGTGGAAACAGTTTGAATTACAAGAAGCCCTCAGTGTCCAGAATGAAAAAATGGTGGGCTGCTTGGGTGTTGGGTATTCAGCGGCCAGGAGGAGCTGGAAGTGAAAGAACAAAAGGCAAAGAAAGAAGTGGCACCCAAGAAAGAAAAGAAGGAAGAGTCATCGAAGGAGGAAGAGAAGAAGAAAGAAGATAAGAAGAAGAAGGAAGAGCGACCAAAGAAGAAGGAAGCTCAATCGAAGAAGGAAGAAGAGGAGCCAAAGAAGAAGGAAGAGCAATTGAAGAAACAAAACAAGAAGGAAGAGCAATTGAAGAAACAAGACAAGAAGGAAGAGCAATTGAAGAAACAAGACAAGAAGGAAGAGCCAAAGAAGGCAGAGAAAGAACAGAAGAAGAAGAGGAGCAAGGGTTCCAGCGACTCAGACCAGGAAGATGAGGAGGATGATGCAGCTTCCTCGCCGGATGAAAGTAGCGAGATTGAAGAAGAGGAAAGAGAAGACGAAGAAGAAGAACCAGAAGAGGAAGAGGAAGACGAAGCAAGCTCCGAGGAGGCAAGCCCTGAGGAAGAGGCTTCAGCGCCTGTAGGAATTCTGAAGTCGAGTTCAAAGGATGACTCCAGCATGGATGGGTCCAGCTGCCATGAGTCGGAGAGTGAAAGCAGTGGCGACAAAAGGTCTGAGGAGAGTTCTGAAGAGGACAAGAAGAAGAAAAGCAAGAAGAAACAGGGGAAGAAAGATAAGAAGAAGAAGGATAAGGATGAGGGGAAGGACAAGAAGAAGGACAAGGACAGTGACAAGGCGGATGGCAAGAGTGGCGTGAAGGATAGGAAGGAGGACGCGAAGGAGTGTGCGAAGAAGAATGAGGGTGAGAAGAAGGATGGGAAAGGAAAGAAAAGAAAGGCAAGTTGCAGTGAGGAGTCAGAAGATGAGATCAACGAAAGCAGCGATGAGAACAAGAAGGAGAAGAAAGAAAAGGAGAAGAAATGCAAAAGGAAAGAACGTAAGAACAAGAAGGAAAAGAAGAGCAAAGAAGAGAAAGGCCTAGCATCTGCTGAGGATGGTCTCACAGGGAATTCCACGAGCCATCGGAAGGAATGGCAAAAATTTGGGCGGCGGTGCAAACATCCCCGGCGATGCCCAGCAAAAATTGTGGCTGCCTGCAAAAATGCTGAAACAAGGGCTGAGCTGTTCAACACCTATCTCCAGTGTGGTGAAGTCTTCGCAGAGGTGGAAATGAAGTTCACACAGCAGCTTGAGGAGAGTCAAGCTACCCAGGTGAGGTATGGCTTCAGGAATGACACTTGGTTGGTAAAGCACCGCGGAGAACGAAAAGCGCAAAAGATCATGAAGCGGAAGGAGGAGTTGGGGTTGAATCTCGGACCTCATAGGTAGGTGAATGAATATCATATATATATATATTTGTCTATACACATCCTATAGTACTAATACACCGGGGCAAAAAGTAAAAGCACTTCGACCCATCTCGCCCATCCAGATTCCCTGCCTTCTTACTTCTTTCATCTCCACAGCATAGATCCAGTTGCCTCCCAAGCGTTCAATTGCGGCTGAGGACCATCCCGGACCCCGAGTTTCCGGGACGACGAGAAATTGTACTTCGTTCTTGTGGAGTTCAACCTGGATGACATCAAGCAGGTCAAGCGAATTACCGCTTTGGAGCTAGAGGGGAGCCTTGACGCCGAGGGCGTCAAAGCATTCGTGGAAGACCCTTGTTTTGAAATAAGACTTGTATTCGCAAGACCTCAATGGATCAAAGACAGACCAGAGTCTTGCAAGTGATCATTGGGTCAGACATTCCATGCATCATGCATGTTGCCCGGAAAGCAGCATTTGAGCCTGGGTCAAATGGCCGGCCCCAAGGGCATGCAATCGTTGGCCGACGCCGTGGGAAAGATGGGGGGTAAGCAGAAGAATCCTAAGAAAGGAAAAGGAGGGAAGGCTGACGCAAAAGGTGATGACAACAAAAACTGAAGGTGATGCCGCTAAGGCCTGCATGTTGTTGTGCGCCAAAATCTTCTTTGGGGCTTTAAACCTTCTTGCGATTCCCAGGTGGAGCCTGAAACGCCGCTTGCCAAAGCACAGAACCTAGTCAACCGGACCCTGAAGGATGCAAATATGTGCAGGCGCACACTGTGGGTTCAGAATAGATGGCGCAATCACCAAATCTAAAGGTTATAGTTGGAGTGTACCAGGTTGTATGGACCCCCATCTAAAGGACATCTTCTGAAGCTACTGTAGTACACTGTGAGAAGTTCAGAAAACATCACACCCCACACCCCACAGCTTCGACCAGGGATTACGCCTTCAAGTTGCGACCGCTTTCACTATCCTCCGACCTGATCGACCAGCTTCGGGCCTGCAGCGTGAAGCTTGGCGATGAAGCGGAAGTGCAATAAGAACAAGCACTACCGGGACTCGATCGCGAAGGTAGTTCAGCAACAGTCTATATGTTTGTGTACCCAACAGTCTATATCTTGTTTGATCCTTTTTGTCAAAGATTCATAGAACCTTACACGCATGGAGGTCGATGAGGTCACCAAAATCGCCAAAGACCGAGTGGATTTGGCGAAAGCGCTGATCCGTGCCAGTGAGAAGTCTGAGAAGCCCAAATCGGCTGGCAAAACCAATCCCAATGCTAAGTCCATTGCAGATGCACCTGCAAAGGGGGATTCTTAGTCTCACTTTTGTGTGATTCTCTTGGGGTGATTCTTCATGAATGCCACTGCCGAGCCAACCGTCGCACTTTCCAAGCTGTTTGCAAGTCTTACCATGTGTGAGAACAAGAAACATGATCTTTATCTTTGTTTGCTTTAGTATGGGGTGTTGCAAAGGAGGCATTGAACGAGTTCAGCATTGCGAAAAGCAATCAAATCAAGTTGCAACCATAGAGCACCTTCGGGCTTACCTGTAAGGTGAATGAGAAGTGAAAACGCACTCTTTCGATGAGCGCTTGAGCAGGTGCTTGCTATGTTTCATGTGTGTCTCACCATCGCATGGAGGTGCTCTTCATCGTCCCCATCGAGATCCAGGACTCCTCCAGCTGCATCTTCAAGTAGAGCGGAAGGAGGAGTCTCGACCAAGCCTGGGGGCTCATGTTGGCTCGCCAAATGTGAGTATAGTAGAGAACTAGTGGAGCCTGCGTTATTTGAGGGGTCCAAGTAGAGTCCCACCCCTCCTTGTACCAACCAGCTCAGGAACAGATGTACTTCTACATGGGAGCAACTCTGCATTGCGGGCTCTCCGAAAAATCTGCTCTGGAGCTACTCGGATTTAGAAAAAGATGTCAAGCAATTAGAAACAGGAGCTGTCTATACTCTGGAGCTTGTCTAGTCAAAACTGCCTCCAATCACAAAAGGTGATTGAATATGTTTGCATAACTGCAGGCTACATCTGCACGAGATGGCTGTAGAGACACTGATCGATTGGTGGCTGATGGATTTGTATGTCCGTTGTCGCTGACCATGCACCGATGGCACACTGGGGGGCACGAAGAGCGATCGTTTGCAAGGCACATCCTGTTCAAAAAGAGACTTCTTACTGCTATGCTGTATATATGGTAACCGTTGTGTTTTTGGAGGTCAAACAAGTTGTTGGAACTGAAACGTTGATCAATCTGCGTGGGTACCCACCTCCAAGAACCCCTGGAGTCCCCTGCCAAGGTGGTGCGAGAAGACGTGCACGGTTCATCCTGGCCAGGTTCAAATCCCCCTGAACATAACGGATGTCAATGGGACTGAAAGAGAAGTTGAGTATGATGTGGCTTTGCTTTGGCCATGGGACATGTTGAACTGGCTTTGGGAATCTGGCAATTTCTTGAGCTGGGTTTCGGACAACCCAGAAAATGCTCATGACCGTGTTGAAGAATATTGGACACACTGTGAAGAGCTTGACTTCTTCCATCGTCTTGGCTTGCCAAAGTCTCAATACCGCTACTGCGTGCCATTTCTGTTCCACGCCGACGGTGTCAAAATTTATAAGAGCCAAAAAGCATGGGTGTACTCATATGCATCGGCGTGTCGCAAGGGAACATCCATTGAGACAAAGCTGGTTCTGCTGATTCTTCGGGAGGCAACTATCATCAAAGATCGATCGCACGATCGCGTTGGAGAAACCATCGGGTACATCATGCGAACTTTGATGACAGGAACATATCCTTCTGTCGACCACCGTGGTGAGCCTTTCTTAGTGGGATCTGCTGAGTATGCCAGAGCTGGGAACCTCTTTGCGGGGGGCTGGTCCATGGCCTTCAGTGGATTCAAGAGCGATTGGGAAGCCCGCCATATCATACACAAATCGAACAGATTTTACAACAGTCGTTGGGTGTGCGAACATTGTTTAGCATCCAGGGATCCGGACCTGACGTTTGGAGACTTCCGAATGACGGCAAATTGCCTCAGCCACCGTTTCTCTCACCAGGACTATTTGATCATGAATGCAAGCAGGCTGTCTTCGTGGGTGTCGGTGCCCGGCTGGACCAAAGACAGGAACTTAGAGGTTCTTGGTCTATTAACTGGTCTATATGATTTGTTTTGATATCTGAAGCTTACACAACTTCCCCCAAGAAAATGTGACTTTGCTAGTCTAGTTTGCTTAAAAGCTAAAAGGAACAGGTGAAAATGGTAAAGCATGCTTGTATTGAACTGAGGACATTTTGCATGTCTTCCACCAGGGAATTGCTTGCGTGCTCGTTGCTGCCCTAGTCTGCGACTCCCTTGAACGGTCAATCCCAGATCTAACTTTGAAGAGCATGGACCAGTTGCTCGCTTCTGATGTCTATGTGCATTACAAATCTTGGTGCAGGTCAAAAGGTCATCATGCCACCTCGTGTAGCTTCAGGTTCTCTACGGGCAGATTTGGAAAAGAAACGTGGGCCACTTGCCCAGAACTGGGGTCAGTATACAAGGCTGCTGTTGTCAAGAGTATGATCTTTTGGTGTGCTGCGTATTTACGGGAACACCAAACAGCTCCGAACGGTCGGCTTCGCTATTTGTGTATGCAGCAGTTTGCAACTTTCCAGTACCTCTTGGACAGCAATGGTCCATTCTTTTCTAGAGACATGGCATCAAAAGTTGTGAAGGCAGCTCGTGACGGATTGCTGCTGTATCAGAAGCTGGCGTCTTTGAATCGGAAGCGAACCGATGGCAGGAGGACTTACAAAGTGATTCCTAAGTTTCACTCCTTCTTGGAACTCAGCATCTATGTAGAGGAGTCTCTACGTAACCCTCGATTCGAGCACTGCTATCAGGATGAGGACCTGATGATGGAGATTTCTCGAATCTCCTCTCGTACTCACCCTTCAACCATGGAGCTGGTGACTATGAGACGGTACAGAGCCCTCCTTCAGTTTTTCATCCACCCAGCTTAAGCCTACACCTGTGCAGTTCTTGGGTTCCAGACTGGACGTCGCTCCATGACGCCATGCCATGCCGAAAAGTGGCACTCCGGGAGTGATCTGCAGCATGTCCACATGAGGTCCCTGAAGTTGTGTTTGAACAAGTGTTTGGACAATGTTGTTTCAAGGCCGTGCAATCGCCGGCCATTCACAAAAAAACACTTCTAGGCGCAGATGGTTTGTGTCAGATGGGCCCACCATACATGTGAAGCAGGTCTAGACTTGAGCAACCAGGTGCTTCGAAGGTCCACCACTCCTCGCGGTTTCTCCTTCTGACTCCTTCACCAAAAAGGGTATGCCCTCCAACGGTTTTGTGTTCCTTTGGTCAACCACCCCTTCTTAAGGACCCGCGGCGCTCACGGTTTCTCTTCTTTGTTTTTCTTTTCAAGAAAGGCATCCCTTCAAGATTAACTTTTTCAATGTTAACTTCAGAAAGACACACGCATCCCCTGGGTGGTCAACCCTTTGTGCATATATAGATATATATATATACACATATAAGGTATATATGTCACCGATATTTTCCAACGAGGGAAAATATCGAAACACGGCTCAAGCTTGCCCTTTCACAGGCAAACTTGCTTAAAGTAAAGTAGCGCCTGCGCTAGTGCTTGCAGTCCACTTGAAGTACATGCGCAGCGCTGCACGTGAAAACCAATACCAACAATATGCTTTGCATGTCCACGGAAGTGCTCAAAACTAGAAGGCTTAAAGGGAAAGCCTTCAAAACAAGCATAGTTGTGATAAGCCTTTTTGGCTTCAAAAGGCTTAAGTTATAGCGCTCCTGGCTCTCCAGGTATGCATCACCTGTTCCCAGCATCTTCTGTGGAAATCTCGGTCCGTCACGCGGCAAAAGATTTGGGGTGTACCATGCAATATACCAAGCAGTGTGTTCTAGGTTGCCTTAAGGATCGCATGGCTGCGGCGGCTCAACGGCTCACCCGTTTAGGTCGTCATCAGCTCGCTCGAAAATCTTTTCCAGCTTGATCTTCAAAACGGCTAGGTATGGTTCATGCCCTCTGTACCACTTCACAAAGCAAACTGCAAACATGTTCAAACGAAATGAACTGCACACGTATAGCCAGTAGAGGTTTCGCTCTCCCCTCCCGGCACTTGTACGGGATCTTTCAACCCCTACAAACCATATGGTGATTTCTTCTCACCATCAACACATCAAGAAAAAATGAGCCTTTCGACCCAAGCCCTCTCTCATACGTCTCATCAGCCACACATGCCCTAGGCAGCAGGTTCTCTAAGGCGCTCCTCAACAAATGGCCACAGCAGCATTCCCCATTGAAGCTAGCAAGCCACCTCAGCAAAAAAAACACCAGTCCCGCTGCAAACACATGCGCTGACATTTCCTTCAAAAAGACCATCACATCAAGCCACTTGAACAGGTAGGTCGACTTCAGCAGGTATCCACTCTCTCACCACTGCCACTGGACAAAGGCTCAGAGGCGCGAGCGAGGGTGCTGTAGCCTGACCAACGCTGCTTCAGATAATGCATGCCATGGCTCCCGGCTCCCTTTCCGAAAGTCTGACCTCAAAGTCATCCTCCCATCTTCAAGCCATGCGATGGTGACCACCGCCGCGGACAAGCCGGTCGAAGCAAGCGGCACAGACAGTTCACTGTCAAACACTTTCTTTCGCCAGCCTCCATGTCGGTGGATCTTGAGCGTGACCACTCCTTGAGGAAAGCGCAAGACACATTCATAAGGCGTGCCATTGACAGGTGTGGTACAAACCATGCTCAAAACCTCCGGCGTGAACAGCCATGCAAAGTCACGAAGCTCGTCTCCCTTGAGTCTCTCCACGAAGACTGACATGGATTCTCCTCCCCTGGATGTGTAGGGGTCAAAGAAAAGGTTCGTTGGCATTCTCTCCCACAAAGGCACACCCCCAGAGCCCCCTTCATGTACCTGCCCTTCACGACGTTCATGTCCATGAGGTTCTGCACCTTGTAGGTCCACATCCTGACCAGTCACCCGTCGCACAGCTGGACCAGAACTGCCAAAGCCCCTTCCTCCACGGGATGTGTTGGACAACTCAGTCACCTCCACCAATGGCAAATCTGAGATCTTTTCAACAACCAGCTGGGCAATTCGGTCTCCAGTTTGGAATGACTTGGACTGATCACTATGGTTCGCCAAGATCACCTTCACCTCTCCTCTAAAATCAGCACCAATGACGCCCCCTGCCACATCTACTCCCTGCGAAGCCAAAGAGCTCCTTGACGCCACACGACCATAATGCTTCTTTGGGATTTCCAGGCAGATTCCTGTGGAGACAAGCTTTCGCTCACCCGGGTTCAGATGAACATCCATCACGGTAGAAAGGTCCCAACCAGCCGCTCCAGTCGAACCCTTTTGAGGAAGGATCGCATCATCATGGATCACCTTCACCTTGACATTCTCCTTCCCGGACATTCCCGGACACCAGATGCTTTAACATCCCCATGCCCAAATCCTTCATCAGGTGAAGAACGCACACCAAGCCAGCAAGGAACACCAGCCATCCCAGGTCGCCCCACATAGAATTTCCACCCTTCAGCTCGCTTTCACCCTTCTCGCAAACCTCACTAGCCTTTCCACCAGGTAGCATCGAGGCACCCGCTAGCAGCATAGCCAGACACTTGGAAATCTTCACTCCATTTTCCTGAGGCCCAGGCATTGAATGTACTGCAAGCACCTCCTTCTCCTCATCCTGGCACAGAAGCACCCCCTTGCAAAATCGCCTCAATGACTGAGCTGGTAGCCCCTTCGTCAAAGCGTCAGCCCACAGCGACGTGCCAACCCTGTGAGACAAGGTCACCTCTTCAACCTTCAGAGCCTCCGCCAAGCATCCCGCTCTGATTCGAAGGTGCCTGGTTCGCCAACCACCTCCGGACCCTGACGCAAGCACCACCGCTGCTCGGTTGTCGTTGTAGAGCTCGAGGTCGACGTCCTTCAAAAGCAGTTCTGCCAAAGCTTTGACTGATCTGCCCGTTTGCAATCCCTCAACCAGGGCTGTCAACTCTGCCTCAGCGGTCGACAATGCCATGAGACTTTGCTTTCTGCTCTCCCACTGCACAGGGCAACCGGCCAGCAAAATGACAGTTCCCGAGATACTGTGACTATCACCCGGTGAAAATGATGCATCCACCAACAACTCCATGGTGCCCCTCTTCCTGGGCTTGCTCCTCACAAGATCTGGATCCTCATCAACGGGCACGTTCACCGGGTAGTAGAGGCCAAAGTCGATGGTGGACCTGACATAGGAAAGAACCGCCTCCCCCAACTCCAAAGTCCATCTTGGTCTCTTAACTGCCCACTGAGACATTTTCATCACGGCCCAAGCTATATCCGGTCTTGTCTTGCCCGACAGCCACAGCAGCTCTCCTCTTCTGAGTTTCTTTCACCTTGGCCAAAGACGGAGACTCCTCTTCCTTTTCTTCCGGCACCTTGATGAACACGGACTTGCCGCCCGATGTATGCCGGTCCAAAATCTCCCTCACATAGCTTCCTTGGTGCAAGAAGTATGTGCCATCATCGGAGCGCTGAATCTCGATACCCAGAAACCTCATAGACGGACCTCCTGGCACGGCATATTCTGACCACACTCTCTGAATCGTGGCGGCGGCCACATCTGTCACTTCCTTCCTACCAACCATGAGGATGTCATCGACATACACAATCATGTAGCCCAGAACACTTCCCCATTTTTCTTTGGAAGCCGACGGAACATGGGCCACCTCCTGGATTGCCCACAAATTTGCATCTTTCAACGGTCGAAACCTGAAGCTCACCTCCTGATTCTCAGCCTCCAGCAAAGACACCGCCCCCTGCATCTTCTGCAACTCAGTGTCCCTGTACACACTCCAGTCTTTTGGAGATGTGACAAGCCCATACATGGCTGAAGTTACGACCCAATGCTCACCTGGCTCTGCCAATGCCGCATCGACTAGAATGCGAGGTGGTCTGACGATGACTAGGTCACCCTGTGCCTTTGGGGCCAGCAAAAATGCTGACTTGACGTCCAGGGACAAGCACTGCCAGTTCTCCAAGGAGGCCACCCGCAAAACCGTCCTGAGCTGTGTCGAATCTGCACCTGTGGCATACACTTCCTCCCCCGTCCGTGACTCCATATAGTTCCCGCAGCAGACGATGCGAGCTCTCCTCTTCCCTTCTCCAGCCTTCCGAGTGAAGACCCCCATTCCGGGAATGATCTCTGCCCGTTGTCCTTTCTGCTCAGCCTCCCAAACCATCTCATTGGCTTCTTCCAGCGGCAAAGTCTTCTTCACTTCACTCAAACTGATAGTTCTGGTCTGCAGGAACACTTCCTCTTCCCCACCTCCGGATTGCATGGCTTCTTCCTCAAGGCCACCCCGGACTCCTCAAGAAAGCTCTCCAACATGGCGTTCTCGGTGTCCATGATCATGACCAACTGGATGTCAGCCTCCTCCGGATGGTTGGATTCCAGCAATTGACATTCTCTATTTGCCCAACTCTGACCTTGTAGAAGACGAATCTGCACATCCTCCACATTGAATTGAGCCAAGGCAGTCTTGTCTGTGAGGCGTCTTCGTGGCTTCACAGTCCCATCCAAAATATTGGCAGGATCACTCCTTTCGGTCACTTCAACAAAGTCTGTGAGGGCTGGCGGACTTCCTGCAACGACCATGTCATTGGTGCGGACGAACTTCCCATTCTCCATCTCCACCAGGTGGCCGCCGCTGGTCAGACTCATGTCAGGATCTGGTCCTCTCACGATGCCAGCCTTTTTCCTAGACCTCCAGTGGCCCTGGAACTCATCCCATCCCTTCGTCGTGACCATCACCTTCTGTCCCCATGGCATCAAAGCAGGTGTAGTGAAGCCCAAGGTCGCTAGCTGTTGCCTCCCCCGACGCTCACCCACATGTTTTGCCATCAAAGGCCAATAGTCCTCACCATCACCCGAGGCTCGAATCAAGGTGTTGATCGCTCTTCGGACCACCC